GATATATAAAAATGTGGTATTTTTTATCAAATATTTGTGTACGCCATATAGATGCGACACTCACAGTGGACTATGTCACAGCAAACAAAGAGCAGAGAGCCAAGAGCGACAAAGGTCCCTGCATTTCCGTTGTTTCTGTCATCGGGTATAAAACACCAGGACATGACCACAAGTTGAATTCAAACATAATACAATATGCACAGTCATGAATACGCTGGCAGTGGTGCTGGTCACATCGCAGGCGCTACATGGAGTCACTACATCAGTCTAAATGAACAGGTTTGCAGGTCCAGGTCACTGCTGTGTGCATCGAAGCAGAGACGCCCAGACTGTTGACTTACAAGGAAGCACCTCAGCTGGGAGGCATCCACGAGGCATGATAGTCAGGTCCCTGAACCACTTCAGCAGGCTCCTGTGGATGTGGACAGCCTTCAGAGGCAGCTCATACCTGCAACCACAGCTCACAGACAGAGCAGATCGATCAGTAAATCAGCAGCTTTGCATTCACATTCAGGTCTCTCTCGACCACAGATAGTTACAGTGCCCACATTACTGCAGACGCTGCACCGATCCATCCACCAGTCTCCTCCTTTCTCCCTCGCTCACAAACCCCAAGATACTTAAACTCCCTCATTGGGGCAGCATCTTACTCCCAGTCCAGAGTGCTGCCGCCGTCCTGTTGTTCACATCCTCAGTCTGGTAACCGCTGATTCTCCAAGCAAACATCTCAAACAAAACAAAGTAGAACGTCCAAACATCTTGTCTCACTTGGCGAGCATCACAAACAGTATTCGTCACAACTTCCTGACTCTTAAGAAGATAATACCCTGATGGTTTAATAGTTAGTTGCAGAAGCAAACCACTAATCCTCAGATACAGCGTGCGTGCACACGTGTGGTTTTTGGATCACAAAGCAGTGGTTTCATCGCGCCTCTCAGCTCTGATTTAACTCCTCACATGAACATTTCAGTTTCTACAAAAAGGTCAAAGCCGGCCGTCACCTCAGCACCTGCACGCGGCGTGTTAACGTCAGGCGTCCAGTGTAAATGTGCAGTCAGTGCTGCATGTGCGCACACACGGACACACACCTGCTATTATGTGTATGATAATGTTTGTGTCTGCTGCCCTGCAGCCTGGCATTAATACAGAGGACTCAGGGTTACTGCGACCTGTGTTCCCATAATGCCAGGCTTTACCACGCGTGTGTGTCTGCGTGTGACGTCTGTCATTCTGCACAGCGACAAACACAACAGAGTTAAAACCGTCTGTTGTTAACACGCGGCAGACACTCGCTTCCTCCGTCTCTTGTTGCTGCTTGATGACTAAGTCGCCTGCTGCTCTTTGTTCCAGTCACACAACTTTTCATCAGCTCGAGGTAAGAGCCTGAGAAATGAGAATAATTCAGCTTTTATGGGTACGTGATGGGAAGTGTGTGAGGTTTCAGTCAGCTGGGACTGGAGTGAACATTTGTCCTTTTGTTTTGGGTTTACGTGGAGATTTCTGTGATGGGCTGAAAAGACCTGAAGTGGAAATGGAGAGTAGTTGGACTATACTATTTGACTTTTGCTTACGCACAATTAATAAAGAGGTGTGTTGATCAAGTACTGAGGCCAAGTATTTATTTTACTTGAAATGCCAATTTTCACATTTTTAAGAGAAAAAACTGCATATTTATATATATGCATATATTATTTATATATATTATTTTAAAAAAATTATTTCTATTAGAAATAAGTTAAAGTTTGCCTGATATGTCTTACTCCTGCATCACTGTATTTCCAGGTGAATCTGCTCATTGTATGTAACTTTGCTTTTCTGAAGGCTTCAGTTATTAGTCATGCAGTAGATTAAGAGATTACAGTAAGGGTGGCGTTAAAGATGAAAGATTTCCAAGTGTAAGCTTTTTCTAATCTGCTAAGTCTGGTAATCTATAGTGAGGATTATCAGCATGTTGACAATAACAATCATCAGCTGGCATTAAAACCTTTGAAGAAGTCACTCCGGGTACTTCTTGAGTTTGGACTTCTTTTCAGGTTTATGGAGAAGTTTCACCGTTTATCCATCCAAGAGGTTTGTTCAGGTCTAACAGCTGGTGGAGACTCTCAGGTATTTACTCGTTGTTGGAGAGTCACCTTGCAGAGGGTTCAACCCTATAATCATGAGAATCATTTGGGGTCACAGGGGCCAAGGTGGGAATCAAGGCGTGGGTCACTAAAGTGAATTTCTTATGAGTCGCTGATCGCCCTACAGTCATGTGAGGCATTGAGGCATTAGGAGCGCATTGGCTAAGGTGTGAGTGGAGATTAAATTGGATGAGAAGGGATCTCAGGACAGCATTAAGTGGAATTTCTGGTGAAGCAGAGGTGGTGCGTTCACTGTCCACCGCAGTCTTGGGATGGCCTGTCTGCCTGCAAAAAGCTGATGTCAGATGGAGGCGGTGCACAAATGGAGGGCTGTATGTGGACCGACTAGTGTGTGCGTCACTCTTGCTTGTACTGCTGTTGGTCCATTCATCAACCGCAGAGAAGAGCGAAAGGGTTGCAGCGGGCAGATTTGATTGGTAACAACAATGAAAAGTATCCGTGATTAAAGGTGTTGGTGGGACTAAAGTGCACCTACTTACATGATTACAGGGCGGCTCTGCGAGTCTCTGGGCCGCCTGCAATGTGTCCATGAGCCTGTAGAACTGAAATATCCTCTCAGATGAAATGTGGAACATCTTTAATAAAATTTATAAAGGTGAATGAAACAAGGATTTAGATGAGGATTTTCTGAATGGTCACATAAAGTAAACTGACACCGTCCATTAAGACATTTTAAAACGTTTATTTGGGTGCTCATTTTGTTCATGACTTCAATGGCATTTAGCATCAAGGACTTTGTTAGTTTGAAATCAGACTTATTTGAAATATTTAAATGCGGCTCCTCACATATATGAGAAGAAATGCGTGATTGTTTCAGATGATGGATGAAGAGGCCACCAAGCGTTACCTTCGGGTGAGCGACGTTGGGCTGCAGCAGGAACAGGCTGAGGTACCACCGACTGTTCACATCACACAAAACATCCACCTATTAAAACCACACACGTGGAGTCACGTGGCCTACAACTTTATCTTTCCTTCTATTTCTGCTCTGACATGGTAAAGAAAACACAACTGCTCCAGCCATCAAACTAGCCCAGTACGTGTGACCAGTTTGTCATCCAAGACCGGAGATGGTCACTTTAAAGTCTGTTTGAGATAACAAACTGACAGGGCGCTTCTTCTCTACCTGTGAAATCTCTCCCACACCACTGGCAGCTTGAACAGGTGATGTAAGGCAGGATGGATCCACGGTCTGACCCTGCCTGAATGTTGCAACAGAAACTGAGACTCATCAGACCAGGAAATGTTTGTCCAACCATTTACTGTCCAATTTTGATGAGTCTGTGAATTGTAGCTTTAGTTCTTAGCGCTCTGGAGTGCAACCAGTGCAGACTTCTGTTGACTGCTAGCTTCAAAGTTCAACACGCGCTCTTCTGCATGCCTATGATCTAGCGTTGCCTTCTTGTTAGCTTGAAGCAGTCTGACCTCTGACATCACTGAGCCATTTTCATCCAGAGACCTGAAGACCATTGGATGTTTTCAGATGATTCTCTGCAAACCTTAGAGTTGGCTGTGCAGGAAAATCCCAACAGATCAGCAGTTTATGAAATACTCTGATAACCAAAGTCTCTTTGAGTTTCAGCAGGTCATCTTGAGTCGTCACCATGTGACTTGCTGATGTAATATTTGCATTCATGAGCAGTTGAACAACTGAATAACTGGCACAAGTTTCCTGACTGACAATAAAACAAGTGAGTGAGAATAAGGACCAGAGAGACCTGCCTGAGCTGTTGTAGCCTCAAAGCCAGACTTAACTATAAACTATGAATATGGGGAATGCAGAGGCCAAAAACCAACAGCGACTCAAAGCAGAGCTAATAAATGACCAGGAGCCATTGACCTGGAACTTGAAATGCTGACTGGCTGATGATCAGATGGATACCTCTGTTCAAGAAAAGAGGGCAGAGGATGTAACACTAATGATAATAAATCATAAACTATGTCTGGATTTCTTACGCATTTCATAGTTTTAATGCAGCGTGTTGATATTTCACTCCTCCACCGTCCACCTCCAGTTGGCCCTTGGCGCTTCAGTAAAGGTCATTTTAACCATATAAAATGAATGAAGGCCGGAGCAGTAACGCTATCACATGTCACAGTGGACCAATGTATGGCAACGACAGATCATAAAACAATTAACAGATTTAGAGGTACAGATAAGCTGCTATTTGGTCATAAAAAGTTGTTAAGTTCATGAAATTGGATCACCAAACATTAAACACCCGT